TTCAGTAATTGTATTCTTTAGTTCTAACTGGTTGTTTTTCATGATGTTCCTATCCTTCTTTATGTTCTCACTAAGTTTCTTAAACATTCTTGTCATCATTGTTCTGAACTCTGCCTTTGATAGGTTGGTTGCCTCTATTTTATCTAGTTCTACTGATTCTGGAGGTTTCTTCTGGTCTTTTATTTGGGATGTATTTCTTTGTTTCCCCATTCTGAATGACTCTTTGTGCTTGCTTTGATATATTAGGTAGATCCCCTAGATTTCTCAGTCTTTTCTGGGTGGACTTATGTGGTATGTGTCCTTTATATTTGAATTGCTCAGTCTCCCTGTTCTCCTGTGCATGTGTTCTAGAGGTGTCCCTTGTGTAGTGTGCCTTCTCCTGTTGAAGTTGAGCTTTGATTGCTTTTGCCTTGTCAGTAGGTGGGACTGATCCCAGGCTGGCTAGCTGTGAGGATTGGCTATGTCCACAGTGTATGAGCTGCTATGTGAGGGTTGACCCCTCAGATGAGGTTTGGCCCCTCTGGGCTCTTATGTTTGTAGAGAATTCCCTTTGGGTGTGACTCTTGTAGGTCGAACCTGGTAATGCTCTGGTTTGGTCTAGAGTTGGCCTCTGGGTGTGATGATTCTTGTGCCTCTTTGGCTGGTGCAGAGCAATTTTGAAGCAAAATGGATCAACAAGCACAACGACCACCACCACCAAAAGAAATCAAATACTCTTACATGTGAAAGCAACTGACAACCAACACTCAACATGAACAGAAGTATCAGAAATATAAAAAAACAAAAGAAACACAACAAAGAAAATAGCAACACAGACAAAAAAAATTGCAGAAAAATGGAAAGAAGGAGGAAATTTAGAGTGGGGAAAAGAAAAAAGAAAAGAAGGGAAAGAGAAAGGAGGAAAAAAATGTATGTACATCTACACATCTATATATATGGACATATATATATGTATATATGTATATATATATGTATATATATATTAAAAAAGATAATAATAAAATAGAAAAGCCAAAACAAACAAAACATAAAAAAACCCCAAAAACTACAACATAAATAGTGCCAGTCTTGGCTAAAGTACACCAAGCTATCTCCAAGTTGTCCTCTGCTGTACAAAAACTCCTCTGCATCTTGTGGAGGCCGAGCTGGCCACCTGGTGCCCAGAGTAATCCTGACGATGCAGACAGTTCTAGATGAGTAAGGCTATGGGGTGTGGTTGGTAGTTTTTACAAAGTCAGTGTAGTTTCTGCTCTCGCAGCTGAGAGCACTGCAGCCTTCTGACTGGAGCGCAGGTCTTCTCTTTCCGCTGGGGGTTGTGAAGGGTGTGAGATTCCTGAGCTGCTAAAAGCCCAGTGCTGCCTCTGCAGCTGAAGTTGCCCTGCCAAGAGCCGCGTAGAAAAGGTGGGGTCTGAATAGGCAGTCACACACTTCCCGAGGGTGGGAGCGGGGTCCCAGTTTGGAGTTGTTTTTGCTTTCTGACTGACTGAGAGAGCCGAGCCACAGTTTTGAGCTGAGGCTTCTGCCTCAGACGCAAGGCATCGCTGTGCTCTATGCTGAACTCTCAGGGGTACTGCAGGGCATAGGGATGGAGCTGTTGCCTTGCTGCTATAACAATCTCCGGTGTGCTTCCTGGGGCCGCCCATCTCCACAGCCGTGGATGCGGGCTGCGTCTCCACACGCCTCCCTATCTTTCCCCACTTGCCCAGTTTGACCAACTTCAGGAAATATTCCTAAGAGTCTCTTAGCTGTTCTGTGTGATGAGCAGAGGTTCCTCTGATGAGTTATAGCTGTTCAATTTGTGGTAATTTCCAGGGGAGAACTCAGGGAGCTCACCTCACTGCCGCCTTTACTATCTATCTTCATTTTTATATGTCTCATCTTTTTGTTGAAGTTCTCCCTGAGATCACTGAGTATCCTATAACCAGTATTTTGAACTCTGCTTCTGGTAGATTGCTTATCTCCATTTTGTTTCTTTTTTCTGGAGCTTTGTTCTGTTCTTTCATTTGGGACATATTTATTTGTCTCCCGCTTTTGGCTGCCTCCATGTGTTTGTTTCTATGTATTATGGCTGCTATGCCTCCCAATCTTAGTAGAGTGGCCTTATGTAGTAGGTGCCCTTTGGGACCCAGTGGCATACTCTCCCTGGCCACCTGAGCCGGGTGATTCAAGTGTGTCCCTTGTGTGAGTTGTGCGTGCCCTTCTTTTGTAGTTGAGCCTTGTTTTTTGCACATCAGTGGCAGGGGTTAACCCTCGGGATGATTGGTTGTGAGGATTGTCTGGGACTATAGTGGAGGAGCTTATGTGTAAGTGCTCATCCTATAAGCAGGATTCATTTTAGTGGGGCTCTGGTGCCTGACAAGTCTGTCCTTTGGATGTGTCATTTATGGAGGTGGTTGGGTGGTGCTCAGGTGTGGTTGGGCCGGGCCACCAGGTGTGTTGGTTTGAGACCCTCTTGGGAGGAGCTCTCTTTCAGGTCCAGGTCAGCTGCTGCCTGTACCCTGCCCAGGGCCACTTAGGATGATCTACAAAGTGATTTGCAAATGGTTATCACTTGTGCTGGTCTTGGAGGTGCGTAGGAATAGCTAAGCTGTGAATCAAGGCTGGCTCCCTCTAGTGCTCGTCTTAGAGTTGCTTAGCAAGAGGTATAGGGCATGCCGAGATGCAATGCTGCTTGTTTGGGGTTTGTGAACTTTTGAGAGATTTTAGGAAATTCTGCATTTCCTAAATGAGCCAAGACAGGCCATTTGTATAGAAAAACCACTGGAAGTGGCTTGGATGGGCACATAAGTTGGGTGGGGCAGGGTCTCAGGAAATCAACAGGGTGGGAGAAATGGTGTTAGCTAGTTTGATGGAGACTCAGATATGGTGGGTACCTGCATCTGCCTGCTGAGTGGGATGAAGGCTCAACAAAAGAACAATGGCTTCTGCCAGCATTTCTGTCTGGAAGAAAGCTGGCCCTCTAGCACACCTCGCTCCTCAGGAGGGACCTCCACAGCCTAGATATCCCTCTCAATCTTTAACTGCCACACGTGTGTGTGGGACCAGCCTGTTCTGTGTTTTTGTTCCTCTTACCAGTCTGGATGTGGCTTCTTCTGTATATTCTTAGTTATAGACTTCAGATGATTCTCAATGATGCTTGTTCTGTAGGTTAGTTGTAATTTTGGGTTGGCCGTGAGAAGACGTAGCACACTGTTTACCTACTCTGCCATCTTGACTGAAATTTCTCTCTGTGATCTTTTAATAAATGATATCTTACTTGGAGTTGATGGGTTAAAAGCATTGAACATCTTGGCATAGATGTTCATACGCATAACTATTTTGACAGTCATGGTGTCATGCAAAATGATTTAGATGAGTCTGTGAAGTTTTAAGTATTCATTTCTGAGTAGGGGCATATCAACATTTGTGGCTACTAAGATATGTTTGACAATACCTATACTTGCACCTTAAGGCAGGAAAGTTTGATCCCAGTTTCACGTACTTGCAAACTTGCATAATGTTTTTGCATAAATATATATATATATATATATAAGAGTCATACATCAAGAATTCTCTGGCATCATAAGTTTATATTTCCTATGATATTTTAATTCATCAAGAATCATTCTAGAGACACATTTAATGGTCAGATGGGCTTCCCAGTTATACCGCAGGCATTGAGGATGAATTTCCCTCATTCTTATAGGAGAGTTTTTTATGTAGCAAAGGAATATTACAGGAAATTGCATATCAAACATAAGAAGTAGAAGAATTGCACATGTTGAGAGCATGAGAAAATTAAGTATATATATTGTAAACTTTAGTGTGAATAATTAATACATTTTATAAATTGATGGCAAATGACTCAATATTTTATAACACTTCTATGGAAATCAAGCATGCATTAAAGAGTTTTTGTTTTTCTAATGTTAAGGAAATGTTTAATATTGTAATTATAAAGTATAATTTATTTTCCAAAGAAAGTTTAAAATATAATTAATCAACTTTGATTGACTGATTTTACTTAATATATCATTATTAGTCATTATTAACTTCAAAGTCAGTGATTAGTAACACATATTAGGATCATCGTCAAAAGATTAGTGTTTTAATTGCAAGTAACATAGTTTGTGAGAAGACTACATAGTCAGATCTGGATTTAAAATCTAAGTCTGGCACTTGAAACTTGTAAATCCGTAAGACTTAATTTCTTCATTTATAAAATGGTTATGGTGATTCTGAGATGAAAAGGCTTTGATGAGATTCAGTTAGTAACTGTATATGAAAGGACATAACTATACATGCAAGAGCCTAATCCAGTGCCAGGTACTTGGTACATACTCAGTAGATCCTACTTTTATAATTATAATAATTATTATTCCTTATATAATCTAAAAAGTATAGCAAACAAAATGCATTATCATCTGGTATTTGTTTATTCTAATAAAATACCTATGATATACAAAATTTTTTACTGTTTATAAGATATTATCTTTATACATATTAATAGAATTATAGAAATAAATATCAGTAAATCTGATTTAAAATGTCATATTTACAGGAAGCATTTCCTCTAACTAGACCTGGGATATATGTATTGAACGTAGATTTTTCTCTCTTACACATGACAGCAGCAGGATCAAAGAGAAACAATTTTTTTTTACGATATTGGAATGACTTTTTAAAATTATAATAAATTCTGTTTTGCCACTTAACCACTCAATACCATTTATTTGCAATGAGTAGAAATTTATATGTTTTTGCATATGTATTTTTATATTTATATGTTTTTAATTACATTCTTTTAGTTTGTGAAATGTAACCTCGAGGCCTTCTGAGTTGCTCATTGCTTACCTGTACATCTGAACCTAATATCTGTCTAGATTTGAGACGCTCCTATTGTGCTCTAGGATATGTTTAATATAATAATATTATAAATATTTTTAATATCAGAAAAGCTCTGTTTAGGAAGTCATGAGCTAAGATGGTGATTTCACAATACCTATATGTTTCCTTCCTAGCTGAATTTAAATGTCAGCCAGGCCGATTTCAGTGTGGAACAGGGCTCTGTGCTCTGCCTGCATTCATCTGTGATGGAGAGAATGACTGTGGAGACAATTCTGATGAACTCAACTGTGGTAGGTGATTAAATTCTTAACTAAGGAACATAAATCTAATTCTTAACTGAGTATGTCCTCATTGATTTAAATTCAGATGAGTTTCAGCACAAATTTTTTTGCTGTTTTTATCTTTTAGATACACATGTCTGCCTCTCAGGTCAGTTCAAGTGTACCAAGAACCAGAAATGCATCCCAGTAAACCTCAGATGTAATGGACAAGATGACTGTGGCGATGAGGAAGATGAAAGGGACTGTCGTAAGTCACCTAAACATGTTGTCTTGCTACTGACTCCCAACAGAAATTCATCTAAAAATTATTATTGTGCACCATAAATTCACAGTGTAGAAAAATGTAACAGCAATTATGTGCAAATAATTCCAAATAATTGTCTATTGGGGTGGATTATTCAAGAAGCTCTGTATAAAGAATATAGACAAAATGAAAACATGGGTGATCTTTACTTAAAAAGCCACCTGGAGATTATGATAAGCATAAAACAACATTCATTCATCCATCTCATCATTAAAGGAAGAAGCAAAAACAAGATTACCGGTGATTATGATGTTTTGGTGTTTTTTTTTCCACAAATTGATGTTCTTGCCCATATTAAGTAGCAACAGGTCATTTTCTTCTATTTATTAATTAGCTACTTAAAATCAACTCCATTTTAATTAGAAGTTGCTTTTTTCTCATAAAAGCCACTTGAAGTTATGATGAAAAATGGACAAATTAACCTAACAAAATTACTTGTTAAAAACTATATATAATACCCTACTTAATGTAGCTTAACAAGCTACTTCAAAGAACAAAGTAAAACGTTTTCCATTTTATGCACTTTTTGTTTCCATCTTCCACAAAAAATTAAATTGCATTAAGTGGAAGGCAAGACACTTTACAGTATATACTCACATGCACATAGGCAGGTGCGTGTGTACACACACACACACACACACACACACACACACACACACACACACGGGATCTGAACGATGGAGCACCTGTCAGGTTTCAGGATTTCAACAGCACTGCTGTCAACATTTCTGTCTTGCTGAAGTTTTATTTTATTCTCCCAAAACTTTTATCAGTAAATAATGTGCAGTCATCCAGCAATTTGATTAAGATGATGCATTCAGAATAAAGTCAGTACCAGTGCTTTATGGTGAGCCATTCCAGAAGTTGATCCATTAAACTGACGAGGATTTGTGATGCAGTTTACAGTCTGAGTCAGATGCTCACTTCTTCCCTCAAAGACTCAAAACAACTAGAGATTTTGACGAATTTTATGTTTTTGATTTCTTCATTCACTGATCTCTTCCAATTTCAGTCTTTTTTTCCATTTATAGCAATGAATATGTAAAAATGTTTAAATTTATCTGAGAAAGAATTATTTTGAAAGGCCCTGAATGCTTTAGTTTTAAAATTAGATTCAAAATATCCTCTTAAGGTGAGGTTGTTTTAAAACTCTGTTTTTTATCAAATGCATCACTGGAGAAATATGTTTTATTTATTGGATACTGGAAAGCATATCAGGAATACATTACAGATAATTAAAAGTTAAAACTCCTTACCTTCAGAGCTTTATTTATTAAAATAAGATACATTTTCAAGTATCTTAACCATTTGTCTAATTGCTTTGTAAAATGTCCTTGTCTAAAGCTACATTTTAATAGATATTTCCCTCTTAAGCTGAAAACAGCTGTTCTCCAGACTATTTCCAGTGTAAAACTACCAAGCATTGCATTTCCAAGCTGTGGGTTTGTGATGAGGACCCAGACTGCGCAGATGCATCAGATGAGGCCAACTGTGGTGAGTGTTTTGCGGCTGTGGATCTCACCTATTGCGTCTATGTCATCATCTGAGATGGCCATGGTGAAATGAATTTGAACACAATTCTGATGAAATGAAAATCTTACATGAGAAAGTTTCAGAGTCAGTAATCTCAGGTTAGCTATTTTATAAAAAACATGGAGGGGAAAGGCAGGAGAGGAAGTATTGCTTATTGTGTAAGTCAAAACTTTTTCTGAAAAGACAGCTGAAAAGGGTAGAATAAAACTATCATCTTCTTATATTAGAGTGTGCACATGACAGTAACATTTAGTAAATAGAAACAATGAAATGCTATTTTCATATTGTCCTAGAACTTCATTTTTCTGCTTAAATACGTATGATTTTCCAGTTCTTCAATGATTACTGTTCATCCTTAAACATGGTTAAAAAAAGTAAAAGATAATAAAAGCATTTGTTCTGTTTTAGTAGATTACAGCAATCACTTAGGTTAGAATTTGTTTCTGAAAAATTAACATTTTCACTTCAAATCATTTATTTTATTTACAATAATTACTTCTTAATTAACATTGCAGAAATGGAGAAGATACTAATTTTGTTTGATGCACTTTATCCTATCTTGGAAATGTCAACAATAAGACAGGAGTGAAGAGTAGTTTTCATGTGTAATTCATTTTATCAACATTTATTAAACATGATGGCGACTATTTTGTGGTTGAATACACCAAAATTGGCAGTGTTAGAGAAACAAAAAAAATTTAATCTAGTAATTGATTAGAGATGACAAAATTTATCTAAACTAAAGATGGGATTTCCAGGCTTCACAGACAAATTTGTGGTAAATTTATTTGCTAGATTTCACACAGCTCTTATTAACTCTTTTGGGAGAAATGAAAATAATAAAAGGAAATTTAGGTTCTCTGAAATTCCATTAATATTGAACATCACTTATGATCTACATGTATAATCACAGGCAATAATGTGTCTTTATGTGTGTGTGCATGTGTGGTTTTTTGTTTGTTTGTTTGCTTTTTTAATAATACTGCCTTCCATATAACTGAGTCTTCAGAACACACAACCAGTATAGCTTATCTCAGTGTCCTAAAACCCCCTTTCACCACTTTGTGAAATTGGTCTTCATAATCAATTCACAAGGCCTCAAATTACATTCATTACTAATTTGTTCATAACAATTATTAATGACTTTTACAGGCTAGTTTATTTCTCTGGCTAGTTTGTTCTGTTGTCTTTCGTATTTTTGTTTACCAAAGCAAAATAGAATAATGAGTTGTATTAGCTATTGGAGTAATTTCTTTGCCGGAAATTTATATCTATATTTTGTTATTCTTCCTCCTCACTTTGATGTGATTTAATTGTTTTTTGGTAGTTTGTTCAAACTGATAATTATCAATCATCATAACAATAATGCCTAATATTTATTTGATGTTTACCGTGTGGCCCAGGAACTGTGTTAAAGGTTTTACATTTAATCTCTTTACTTTCCCTATTTTATTAATGAAGAAAATGAGGCCCAAGGGGATTATGTAAGTTGCCCAAAGTCCCAAGTAGTGAAACTTGGACTTGAATCCAGAGTTATTTGACATCAAATCATCTGCTTTGTGAACATAGCATGAATCAACCTTATTCTTTGTATATAAAGAGAAAAATATTTCAATATTTTCTGTTATAAAGGTATATAGAATTCTCTTAGCCACAGTTATTGTTGTAAGGTCCAGACCAGTGTGCAAACACATATATACATAAAGGAAGAGGGGGGAAGAAGGTGGAAATGTTAACCATTTTATTTGTCTTAACCCCACCATAACATTTTATGGGGGCAGTGAAATTTTTGTGTAAGTAAAGATTCAAATCTATGCTACCCTCACAGCCATGGCAAATAGTTGTGACTTCATTTTGTGAGTTGTTAATAGTTATTATAAAATTACTTTTTGCCTGAAAGTGTTCATGCTTTCTTCATTCTATGCCCAAACTAAAACAAGACATAGATATGCAGCATTTTTATTAGACTATTGATGTTGCCTACTCTTGGAAGACTGTTTCACTATTTGTTACAATATTGGGCAAATACCACATTTGAATGCCTGAGCAAAATAAATAGACTACTTTGATTGTAGCAGCTCCAGGATCTTCATTCAGAATCTCAATTTCAAATTTTATTCATCTTCCTCCTGTGATTTCCATTTTAGGAATGAAATGTGGATTTAGGGATTTGACAGATCTGTACTAGATTTATTCCTCTGCTTTGTAATCAGGGTTGAAACTTATATACAATTTGACATGTAAAATAATATATAGTTATTATGGTATATAGTTTAGACTTTCTGTTCCCAGATCCCAGTGAAACATCCTTTTCATCAGTTGTTCTACGTGGGCTTTTCCAGTCAACTCTGCACTCACTCCCCAGCCTCTAGAATCCACTGTTCTGCCACTTTGCTCCTCCCACGGGCTTCCTTTCCTGATTTCTTCTTCATCCCTTCACCTTATCTAGAATTCTTTGTCATCAAAGAAAGTCTTGGTGTAAAATCTGCTTGCCTAATAATGTTTAATTAATGTGTTAACTATAACCACACTGGCTAGGACTTGTGAGAGGAACTTGAACTTCCTACAGTTGCAGTAGCTTTATACTTTCCTCAGCCTGGTGTTTCCAACATGACAATGAACACATTCAAACCGAAAGATAGAACTGAACAAAGTGTGTTTTTATTTTTCCTTAAATGTCTGGTGAGGAAAATTGAATCAGGCTACTCAAGATAAAAGAATATAAGAAACAGATTTTTTTTAAAGTCCAAGCAATTACATATTAAATGATAAAATATTTCAAACAGAGAGATTTGTATAGAAAGTTGTACAGTAGGCACCGTGTACCAGTTTTAATAGACGTTATCATTTGGCCTAAGATAACTCTTTTAAAACATTCAAATCCCTATAATACAACTAAAGCCCAGCTCTATCCTTTCCCGTTACCTCCCTCTGAAGTCTGCCCCGAAACCCGGAGTGGTTATGCATCATTCACGTTTTGTTTTGTTTTTTACATTTGCTGTATTAGTATGCATTCATTAATATGTATCTAATAGTTTATAGTATTAGTATTTGTAAAGTTCATGTAAATCATATTATATATTCATATTAATTAGAAGCTTAGCATTTTCTAGTATTCTAGTGCACTGATGTGAATAACATTCCCATACCAAAGGTTATATCTACATGTTACATTTATTACACATTCATTGGCGAATAAGGCATAAAACAGTTTATACAATCTGTGTTTTAGACACCAAAGTGTTGTAGTTCTCTAATTGTCACCTCACATGAAAGTTAATTCAGATCAGATGAGACAGTATTTAGAGGTCATATTCTGTCAACACTAGTCAGTATCAGGCTAAATTATGCTTAGGATAGAGCTCTGGGAACGGGTCTGTGGAAGGAAGCTTTGATACTGATGACTATAAATACAGTACAACAATTTGTGATATTTGAATTTAGTTATATGTGAATTTAGTTATTGTCAAGATCTTATTAACTTACCCTTAGAATAGCATTTAGCAAATGTTAGTCACGTGATTACAAGATCATTTGTGGTGGGAAAGTCCTGTGCTCAAAGGATAATGGGCTAAATTCTGTGTCTTGGAAGAGCGTACACACTCATGCTTATTCAGTTAAGACGTTTTCTAACATATGACATCTCTCTTAGACATTTAGAGGTGTGGAATTATATACCTTTATGTTAGCAGGTGGGAAGAAGAAAAGGCCTTTTATTGCACATTCTCTGGGAACTTGTTGGTCTGTGCTGCCTGATTGGTCTGATCTGTGTCTGTACTATAGCCTGTGTTATGTGGTGCTGGCTTGAGTTTGGGCCTTTTTCTGTCAGTGTCATATGTGTGTGTGTGTGTGTGTNTGTGTGTGTGTGTGTGTGTGTGTGTGTGTGTGTGTGTGTGAGAGAGAGAGAGAGAGAGAGAGAGAGAGAGAGAGAGAGAATGAGAGATGAGACTCTTTTACACTGAAATATTTTGGTGCTAGTAGAGCCCTTGAAGGAGAGCCTATCTGTGTGAATGGGACCAGGAAACTGTCTTCTAGATTTTCTATGAAGAAATGAATGACTACGGGTTAATCATTGATTAGTCTAAGTGGAACACATTTAGTCTTTTTATAACTTGTGTTCAGCAACTTTCATGCACTGTCTCTCTGTCAAAAAGATGTATGCTAATTTGATATTATTTTATGTGTTTTTCTCTCTTAGTAATATAAGGAAACTGTGAGATTTAAATTTTGTTGCCCAAAACTGAAAAGATCCCACACAATGAGTCAGGAGGCATTTCAAATATGCTGGACTCTGCATTGATCTGTAGTGAAAGCCATGAAGGAAATAGCTTTTCACCCACTGAGGTTTATAATTGAGCTTGTAAAGGAAGTGAACTCTATATTTGTTTTAGTAAGAACTGGGTTGATGTGGTTGATATTTTTTTAAAAGAAACTGCGTGAGGAATTTAATATTCTGTGATATTTTTGTTTGAAAAACATCATCCTGGTCATACTGCTCCCCTCATCCTTCGCCAACTATATTTGATTGTGTAGGCACAAAATGAAATCACACACACACACACACACACACACACACACAAACAAAAAAATGAGTTGCAGATTTATAGCAGTATTTGGAGAGAATAAGTGTTAAACACTTTATAAAAAAATAAGTAAGAAATGTAGAACTTTATTTTTTTTTCCTTTTTTAGCCTACCTTTAGAACAAAATTATTTGTATTTGTTTTACTTTATAAGTTTCTTGTCATGTACCCTTTGGGGTGGTGATTTTCTTAGAGGGTATTCTATCATTTATATTTTCAGGGGTTATTCAGTGTTGCTTACTTAGTACTATGTTTATATTATTATGTTCCATATGAGTGAGTGAAAACAAGTAGAATGAAAGATTGTAATGCTTTTTTTAAAAAAAAAACACCAACACCTGATAATGCATCTATGTGTAGAAAATATTATTGTTTATTC